TGATAATAATAATAATAATAATAATAATCTTTCTATTAAAGGAGACCACTTATCATGATTCATGCATTTGTTTTTTGAAAAAGATTTATTCGAACACTAATAGGGTCTAGTGTTTCTTAATTTACAACATAGGTGGTATGATGTCATTGATAGTGAAGTCCAAGACAGAAGATTCTGTTAAATGTGAAGTTGTTGATGGTGGAGAGCTTAAGTCTAGACGGCATCTAAATGTTCGAGGAAAGAGCGCAACGTTGCCTTCAATCACTGGTTAGGACTTGGATTACTACTTTATTATGATTATTTTAATTCCTTCTATTATGATTTCTTTTTTCTGATAGGAGGGATAGCAGAGAATTACTTATTAGGTGACACTAGAACATTTTTGCACTTCAATACTAAGTCTTCACTGTGATTTTCTGCAGAGAAGGACTGGGATGATATTAAATTTGGAGTGGACAACAAAGTAGACTTTTATGCTGTTTCCTTTGTCAAAGATGCACAAGTGGTTCATGAATTAAAGAATTATTTACAAAGTAAATGTTCAGATATGAACTTTATACCTAAATTTATTTTTGATACTTGCTTAAATATCTAATTTGTATCCTTCATTTGTAACTAATTTGCATTTGACTTGGCAGGCTGTGGTGCAGATATACATGTAATAGTGAAAATTGAAAGTGCAGACTCTATACCAAATTTGCATTCAATTATAACAGCATCAGATGGGGTGATCACCTGAATCTCTTCATTTGTATCGTTGAATTGTATTTAAATTTTATTTATTATTTACAGTTAGACAGTATAAATGACAACTGCACCGAATGCAAAATAATTCTATATTGGTAGGAAAGACTTTTTTCTTTTGATGTTAGATACGGTCCAGTTATTCAACAGTAAATTTGAAAATTTTCTGATGTCCTATGGGGCTCCATGTCCATCTAGGTATTTCTCATTTAACACTTACGCAAGAAGTGCCAAAATCTTTACTCTTCTTGTTTTAGGCAATGGTTGCAAGAGGTGATCTTGGTGCAGAGCTCCCTATTGAGGAGGTTCCTCTTCTGCAGGTACATTTTACTGAAGGATGATGAGGACAATAAGTTCAAAGTCCTATAATCTTCTAGCAAATATTTCATGTTTCAGAATCTCACATCCATAACTGTTAACTGTATGAAATGTGTAGGAAGAGATAATAAGGATTTGCCGTAGCATGGGAAAAGCTGTTATTGTAGCAACAAATATGCTCGAAAGTATGATAGTCCATCCAACACCTACTCGAGCAGAAGTATCATACATTGCAATTGCTGTTCGTGAGGGTGCTGATGCTGTAATGCTTTCTGGAGAAACAGCTCACGGAAAGTGAGTTGCATTTTTTGACTTTTTCACAAAGCTGGATAGATGTTACTAACAGATTCCTAGCTGAATCTGTTTCAATTTATGCAATTTCTTTTTCTTCCAGGTTCCCACTGAAGGCCGTGAAAGTTATGCATACAGTAGCATTACGGACAGAAGCAACCATTTCTGGTGGTGGAATGCCTTCTAACCTTGGTCAAGCCTTCAAGGTGAGATAATACATGTGGCCTTTTCCCCAGATTCTGTATGCTTTATTTTTATTCCTGCTCTTTGCTAAATTTTAAGTCTAACCCTGAATACTTACGGGAAGTTTTTGTTCTCTGTAGAATCATATGAGCGAGATGTTTGCATACCATGCAACCATGATGTCGAACACTCTTGGGACCTCTATTGTTGTCTTCACTAGAACTGGTTTCATGGCTATCCTTCTGAGCCACTATCGACCTTCTGGCACTATATTTGCCTTCACGAATGAGTGAGTTTCTTATGACTGAGAATCCCTAATATATCTTGGCGAGGTCATTATAATTTAACATAAGGTAAAACAGGAAAAAAGAAGCTAATGTTTAGTTTTCTAGTCTGAACTAAGTTCTGTGGTAAGAAAAAGAAAGTCCTGATGAATTCTTATAATTATTTTCCCATATGTATTTTGTATTCTTAGTTTTGTATTCTATCTGAGCTGATTTAGTTGAGTAATTGTAAATATATGATAGCTGGCTGGACCTTAAAATAAATTGGAGGCTGGAGTCTAGTGGTGAATGTATTATTTGGCAATTCTTTGCTACACTAATGCTTGCAAAGGCAATATATGTCTATACAGGCTTGACCTGATGCGATGGTATTGATGGTCATGCAGGAAAACAATACAGCAGAGACTGGCTTTATATCAAGGAGTGTGTCCCATATATATGGAGTTTTTAGATGATGCTGAAGAAACTTTTACAAAGGCCCTAAGTTTGCTGCAGGTGAGGTTTCAGTACTCAATTCACCTATAGAAAATCCTTTTCAACAAAAGTTGTTCCTTGTTCACTAAAACCAACTTCAAGTGAATCTTTAAGGTTCCATGATGTAACTAACTGACGATTAGTTTGTGGTAATAATATCTATAGTCTACGTATGGTACCTAAAAACCTCTTTATTTTCCGTTCTTAAATCTTATAATATTATGAAAAACCCAGATCCATATTTTGAAATCAACTATGTTGATGGTAAACCTTAACAGTGAAAGGCTCTTCTTGCTTTGGGCAATGGAGCATTCTTATTGTTACGAATTGGAATATGGTACTTGAGGTTTTGGGATAGAAGTTTAGAACTACATTATCGTGTGCGGAGCATTAGAGCTACCTTGGACAAATGTGCAGATTTGGTTCCATAAGGAATTAAACTCTTGTGCATCTTTGTTTCAATAAACAAATAAACTCCTTTTAGCGCTTCCCTGTTATAATATTTTTCTCTTTGTCATGTACAGAAACAAGGAATGGTGAAAGAGGGAGAAGAAGTAGCACTTGTTCAGAGTGGCAGACAGCCTATCTGGCGATTCCAGTCCACGCATAATATCCAAGTCCGAAAGGTGTAAGCCACAGAGGACAGGTAACTCATCAGACTGAGTTATCTTCCTAGCAACCAGAATTACTTCAAACCTTTAAAAAAGAAAAAAAAAAACGAAAAAGTATTCGGATTTTGCAGCTGCTCTGAGATTGGTAGTATCTCCGTCTGTCTTATTGTTTTCTCCTCTTCAAGATCACTCGGTATCGTTT